ATTTCCGAGTCACATGCATCTACACACGGTATTGGCCCGTAAATTTCATCTAAATTTGATTGAAATTTCAGAGTTGCACACAATTAAAATTTTAAAACCAATTTGTGTCGCATAGAAATCACACATCTCTGCACACATATCCTATTCAATGTTTTTTGTAAACCCATTACAAATTGCAGTTTGAAAGATCAGCTTTTTCATGAGAGATAACTAAAAAAAATTACAGATCTGTCAACGAGTAATGACCTTCTGCATTTTTTGTGCAAATTCAGAACAAAACACTCGATAAAATTTATCGCTCTCAAGGGGAATATTCTTTTTCAGTGATATTAGGGACGAATAGACTTTGTCACTGAACAAAGTCATGGAATTTTAATATCGAACCATCTCGCAGACGTGATGTGCTAAAAATTCATTCAATATGCAGAAATTAAAGCTTGTGTATCACATTTCAGAAGAGAGAAAATTGTCAGCTGATTTCATCAAAATGGTAATAGTATTTCTGTCGTCTGCTGGGGGTTTTTTTCTGAAAGAAAATTGAACCTTACCAGATGTTTGACCAATGTACCAGACAGTCAAGGTTATATTTAATAATATATCTTCTTATTTTCACAAACAGCATGGTCTTGATTCTGGTGTTGTCAAATTCTTTTACTTGGAAAGAGTTGTTTTTTTAATTTTATTGTCTGCAAACAATTTCATATGTGTACCTGCCATGCTTTTGAATATGTTTTTCGCTGTCAAATTATGATGACTAGAAATTTATAGAAATACGCCTTACTGAGAGTCAACATGATTCCAACACGAATCCTAAACTATGAAGAGGGGAAAAAATGTCTGAGGGATGTAGAAATACAAACAGAGTTTGTATAGATAAAAGGGAGTTGAGAGCAGAGGAAACGACATTTCTGATGATAAGGGTGTTGGTGTTTTATCTAGAGACACATATGATGAACTGTGTAAATGCTTCATTCATACCACAAATTACCATGATTGTCTCTGCTTTAAATTGACATGATCTGTCCATCTCGTGTCTGCAGGCTTTGAGACTTTTAATAACATGTCTTTTCAAATAATGTAAGTTGTCAAAAATGGTCAAAGCTTCATGCAAGTATTAATATCTTTCTATGGATTCAAAGAATTAGCTTAGGTCAGCTGAATTGGGTGAAAATAGAAAAAAAAGGATCGTGTTACATAACCTTTTCTATCGTTCTATTATATGCCTGGAAATATTTCCTTAAAAAAAATCTGTAACATGACTCGGTCCATTAACAGTCAGTAGACCTCATGGCTCCAGACATTTTAGACATGAAATGCATCAGTGAAAATTTTTTACTTTTTATTTGTTGCGTTGAAAATGCAAGGTGAATTATGCACTTCTGAATTCTGTGTAAAGATACTGCAAAGATGTCGAGGTGACAGCCATACTCCAGGATGTCAGAATATCGGAGGTTTGTCTCGTCTCTAGAACAGTTCACGCGACTCTAACAAGATGCTGGTTGTTCTGATCAATAGTGTTTGGTTTATTTTGTGCAGTAGATTTGTTCATGTGATAATCTTCTTCAATTTTAAGATACAGTGTCACTATATTAAAAGTGAAAATGATGCCACGTGACCTTGTTAATTTTGTTTTGTTTTGGAATCACAAGGACAAGATTGAAAGTCTCAGACAAGGGCCAGTCTTAGAAGAAGAAGGGGCCAGTCTAGGTAAAGGGACAGGGGCCAGTCTAGGTAAAGGGATATTCTTTAGACAGGGGCCAGTCTAGGTAAAGGGGCCAGTCTAGGTAAAGGGACAGGGGCCAGTCTAGGTAAAGGGATATTCTTTAGACAGGGGCCAGTCTAGGTAAAGGGTCAAGTCTAGGTAAAGGGATATTCTTTAGACAGGGGCCAGTCCAGGTAAAGGGGCCAGTCTAGGTAAAGGGATATTCTTTAGACAGGGGCCAGTCCAGGTAAAGGGGCCAGTCTAGGTAAAGGGGATATTCTTTAGACAGGGGCCAGTCTAGGTAAAGGGATATTCTTTAGACAGGGGCCAGTCCAGGTAAAGGGGCCAGTCTAGGTAAAGGGGATATTCTTTAGACAGGGGGCCAGTCTAGGTAAAGGGATATTCTTTAGACAGGGGCCAGTCCAGGTAAAGGGGCCAGTCTAGGTAAAGGGATATTCTTTAGAGAGGGGTCAGTCTAGGTAAAGGGGCCAGTCTAAGTAAAGGGATATTCTTTAGACAGGGGCCAGTCTAGGTAAAGGGACAGGGGCCAGTCTAGGTAAAGGAATATTCTTTAGACAGGGGCCAGTCCAGGTAAAGGGGCCAGTCTAGGTAAAGGGATATTCTTTAGACAGGGGCCAGTCTAGGTAAAGGGACAGGGGCCAGTCTAGGTAAAGGGATATTCTTTAGACAGGGGCCAGTCTAGGTAAAGGGATATTCTTTAGACAGGGGCCAGTCTAGGTAAAGGGACAGGGTCCAGTCTAGGTAAAGGGATATTCTTTAGACAGGGGCCAGTCCAGGTAAAGGGGCCAGTCTAGGTAAAGGGACAGGGGCCAGTCTAGGTAAAGGGGATATTCTTGAGACAGGGGCCAGTCTAGGTAAAGGGACAGGGGCCAGTCTAGGTAAAGGGGATATTCTTGAGACAGGGGCCAGTCTAGGTAAAGGGACAGGGGCCAGTCTAGGTAAAGGGATATTCTTGAGACAGGGGCCAGTCCAGGTAAAGGGGCCAGTCTAGGTAAAGGGACAGGGGCCAGTCTAGGTAAAGGGATATTCTTTAGACAGGGGCCAGTCTAGGTAAAGGGACAGGGGCCAGTCTAGGTAAAGGGACAGGGGCCAGTCTAGGTAAAGGGGATATTCTTGAGACAGGGGCCAGTCTAGGTAAAGGGACAGGGGCCAGTCTAGGTAAAGGGGATATTCTTGAGACAGGGGCCAGTCTAGGTAAAGGGACAGGGGCCAGTCTAGGTAAAGGGGATATTCTTGAGACAGGGGCCAGTCTAGGTAAAGGGTCCAGTCTAGGTAAAGGGGATATCCTTTAGACTGGAGTATTACAAGAAAGACACAAGGCTAGTTGTGTTTGTATTGAGGATGTGAGACAAGCTGTGTGTAGATACATATAGACTGAGTTTTCATGTTTACAATGTGTTGCTGATATTGTGATGAGTTTAACAGAGGTAACCTAGTACATTATCACGTTTGTTGGCATCAAGTCAGAAGGAGGTCTCAAAAATGTTTAAAATTGTATCTGGATTTCTGTTCACTTTACCATAGTCGTCTACCACTAAATCCCTGTTTCACTGGTCGCAAATATAGGAAGCTCCCCTCCTGATAATTTTCCCAAGTGATAGAGTGATAATTTTAACTGTTTCATCATTAATTTAAACTGATTTTGCTTCCTGATTGTGTGAATATTCGGAACGGTACTAAGAGACTCTAAAGTTATGTTAACTAGGCTTTACAGAAGATGGTTAAAGATTGGAGATATTTGTCCTCATTCGTATAGCCATCTTGGATAAAATTTGCACCAACAAAGTATCCTTTTGAAGTATTTTCTAAGCCACAAACTTAATTCTGAAATATTGATCAAACATACATCATTTCTTGTGATGGTATCTATGGGACCACATTCAATTCAAAATGAAACTTGATTTTTTTTTTTTTTTCTTATCTGGTGATACGCAAAGAAATTTGATCGTATATTCTGATGAAAAGAGAAAACTAGAATATAATGTGTGCAATATTTGAATGTTAACACCGTTTACTTACAAGACTCCGGAGGCTGAACAAACATTAAAACTGTAGCCAATCGTATAATATGATCAAGTTGCTTGGCAACAACATTTGTTGCTTGGCAACCCATACCTTCGAAAGAAAAACTTGATTCTCATTATATGTTAATGAGTAAACCGTGCAGTGTTTTTATGCATTTCTCCAAACAATAACTGATAGCTTTATAGACAGAAGCTTATAAACTTTTAGAGAATAAAATAAAATATTTTTTCTAAACAATTAACTCTGAAAATTGATGACTTTTCCATCTGAAAAAAAATTTCCAGTTATGTATTTGGTTTATATATGCACTCTTGTTACCTTAAGCATAACTGTGACTGCAGTTTATCATTAAAACAGTTACTATAATTAGCAATGTTTCTCTTTCTGAAAACCAATGCAAAAATAGTTGGTTGTCATGGTGATATTTTTTTTAAGTTGGTTTCCTCTTTTATCCCTTGCATTGAAGAATAATGAGAAAATGAATTTCAAAAAGTGATTCTACACATCCAGCCTTCTGTTCTTCAGCGGTGATTTATAACTTTCATCAGATAATAGAACCAGGTCTGGTGTGTGTTGTATCACTGTGTGTATTATATATGCCTAAAGGCATAGTATATATAGTGCCAATTTAACGTGTATATATATAATCTGTTATGCATATTTAATGTGGTCACTTTATTCTGATTGGTCAGTCTGCTGACATTTTCTGTGATTTATTTTTGTTAACAAATTCAAGAATTACTCTGGGACTGGAATTCTTACTGAGGTTTTTGTTGAAAATCTCGTATAAATTTCAAAATGTGTTACTTGGATGTTTTATATTGGAAAATTCGACCCACTTCCTCCAAAACCCAGAAATTCTTCCATCTTATTAATGCCTCCTGAAGGCTGTGTGGTTGTGATCCGTTAAACTGATGGAAATGTGATGCATGAATATTCATTATTTGTAAGTACCTTAAGAATTGGTAAGCTACAACCATATTTAGTGTGCTAATTATAATTAATTGACCAAAATTGTATACATTTTAGTATTTGTCATGATCAGGAATTCTTTCACAAACCACGTAAAAAGTCTTCTTCGCTAAACAAAGTCCTACATGATCAGAGGGTTATTCCAAAGTACAGTGGTTGATTGTTATTAAGTAGCATAATTTAGAATTTGAAGTATATCGTTTTCTTTGCAGGAAATTATAGTATAGTATTGGTTCATTGTCGTACTATTTTCATCTATTTTTTTTTTCCTGTTTTGCAGTTTTGATGACAGCAGTTCCATCAGCAGTGGGGATATCAGTGATACCATCAACGACATAAGTACAGATGAAGGGAACCTCACGGGAGGCTCATCACGAGACGGTGAACGCAACCCTTACGGGAGTCTCAAACGCAACCCTAAAGACTTGGGAAGAAATCTTGCCAATGGTAATTTTCAGGGACAATTCCCCACACAGAAACGTGCACCAAACTTAGGCACCAGTGCTTTTCTAGGAAGTGATTACTCGAGTGACGCTCCTCCTGTTTCTGGATGGCGCAAATACTCTCTACCTCAAACCAATCGCCTTCTGAGTAGTGACCCTGCTGATTACGCTCATCTGTACAACGGTTACGACCACAGCCAGTGGCGGCCCAATCAGGGTAACGTGGGCCAGTTAAGAAAGTTGTCCAACTCAAGTCAGCCAGAAATACACCATTATAGGGCACACAGTGCTGACGCAGCAGATAGTCAAAGTGACAAGGGAGGCTACTCTAGTGCAGGCTTCCTTACAAAGAGAGACAGTGAAACTAATACAGATCAATCTCATCTCTTGGACTCAAGCATGCGTCGCATGCAAACACAACGAGCCCACTCTGCAGGTGGTCAGGTGACCTATGGTTACCGACGTCCTCTTAGCAACACAAGTAACTCCTCTGTAGGTAGCAACAAAAGTACCAGTTCTAACACAGGTAAAACTTCTGCTGTTGGAAGTCGCCTAGCTAAACATGGCATGTTGGTGGATGGTCAGGCAAACGGTAAGTCTGTGGATGTGAACGGGGGTAGCTCAATACCTCGTCCCGGAAGTGCGACCGGAATGAGGGCCACAACCCCAGGGGGAGGTAATCCCCGGACTGATATGGGGCCTGAGGCCTATAGTAGTGCCACCCTCGAACGCAAGAAGAAGGGGCTCAATGGAGCTCCAAAATCGACAAGTGCAGCGCAGACAGATCCAGGAGAGTTGTACAAATCCAACACCTTGGGAAGGACAAAGAAAGTTTTTGGCAGCCGGAATAGTCTGAGCAAAACCCAGACACAAGGTGAAAATGGTTCTCTGTGTAGTAGTACTATTATATCCAATCCTCACGCTACTTATAGTAAGGCTGGGCCCCAGTCCCCGCAGAATGGCTCCCACAATGGTTCTTATGTGGCTATGGAATATGGTAGTCCCCGCAATTCCGGTGCGGGGCAGGGTGTCTGGCTCAAAACACCTAACGGCACTATGGCCATGGGTATGTCAGAAACAGAGTCCATGGAATCAATTTCATCTCACGCTTCCAGTATACAGGCTCAAATCCAACAGGCAAGAGCCTTAAGTGGTGCTAGTGCTCGTATCCTTGCTCACCGCGATGGTCAGGGCACGCCTAACGGCCTGTCACGGTCCAATAGTCTCAAATCCAGCCAATCTGACTCTGTGTATGCCCAGCATTCGCAAATGTCTGAAGACATCACTCGCACAAACTCCTTTTCTCAACTTCCGAGCCCTCCCGCACCTTCCTCCCCAACACCAAGCAACTCTTCTCATTCATCGTCACGCTTTACATATCCCATGACTGCTGCGTACGGCAGCGGTGGCGGTGCCTACCCAACAAACTCGGCCATGGTGAGGTCAAACACGCAGTCCAATCTGCCGTACGGAAGCCTTGCCTTGTCCAAGATTAACAAGGAAGAGGACGGCAGTCGTGAGTGTTGTGTTTTCGTTAGTCACATAGTCATGGCAACAAATACCACAACTTGTCCAAAAAACAAAACTTTAAAAAAAAACACAAAATCAAGCAACATGTCATGTTTAACAGAAATGTCTCCTTTCGAAAAACAAAAACAGATAAACAGCTAAACAAATCTGTATGGTTTTGGTTTCACACCCAAATTTCCTCCTAGAAAATCTTTTTTTCACATTTTATAGTTGTTAGAGAAAATTTGTACGTATTTATTTTTCCATTCTTAGAACCATTGTTATGAATGAGTGTTTTCATGCAGCAAGTTTGAAAATTTGAATTCATTTGATGTGTTCAAGACATCAGGGAAATTAATTTCAAGAAAACAGTAAAAAAAAAAATATATATTTGGATTTATTTGTTAAAACTTCCGATGCATGAAAATACAATTATTTCTTTTTTTCAAGTCATCGTTGCTCTACCTCTTCCATTTTTTTAAATTTGGTTTTGGTATTTTCACCTTAAATGTAACAGTTTTTTGGACAGGTTCAATATCTATAGTTGGTTGTGGTGCAGGTGAATTATCCTTCCTATGCTTGTCTGTGTTGCTGTTGTAAATTGTAAATATTTTGCCATTTGGTCTCACAAAACTCCTTTATATATATCTACACGTCCATGCCGGTTTTTTTTGTTGTTTTTTTTATATATATATTAGTCACTTAAACCTTATCAACCAGACAAGGCTAGAAGGCTATTCAATTTCCAAACCTAGCACTATCAAAGCATGGAACAGTTTTGATTTTAAAAAAAAAATGGTGAAGAGAAAATCATTTAATTCATTCATATGATTGAAACGAACAACAGAAAAGAAAAAAAGTAAATAAAAAGTGAAACTGTTCCATGTTTTCCTCTGTGTACAATTTATGTTGATCAGAAGTAACATAGATACTATTTTAATGTTTGAAAATTTCTGATGTAGATGTTTTATTCTAATATGTTTATTTTTAGAAACGTTTTAACTCTGAAAAGAAAGATAAGCATTCAAAATTTTCCCATAAATTGCCTTGGATGAATTTTAAAGTCATTGATTTTTTTTTTTTACATCTTTGTTGATTAAGTGAGTAATATTTATCAATTCCATGTTTAAAATTCATCCTCAAACTTAGGCCAAAGATATAGTTATTATCTTATTAGTTATTACCATGAAATTGGAGCTCCACAAAGATGTGTGATTTTACAGTATGTAACAAATTTCATTATATCCCCTGGCATTTGTGAATGGAAATTTTGAATTGTTGTTATTTTGTAGGACTTACACAAATTTCTTCTTCTTCGTTACAGTAGATATTGGTCTTGTTGTTTTGTTCTGGTATATGTAAAAACTAAATCCTCTTTACCTCCGTCCAGTCGTCTTTCCTTGTACCTCGTATTTTCTTAGCGTTTCATTATATTGATATTGTTGTGTAAATTGTGGCTGCGTGTTGATGCCAACCTGGTACAGATTCAGCTGAACGTTCCTTACTCCCCGAAAACATTGTTGCAAATGATGTTTTATTTTGTACACTCCCAGAAATTAAAACACAATCTTGTACAAAAGGCCAAAACATCTCCGTGCTTTTTGCATTAGTAAATACCAATAAATTAACTCCTTAGATGTCTGCTACAACTTTTTGTATAAAAAATTCCTTTCTTTTCAGTAAAACTAATTTTCTGTTCATGTTTATCACAAAATCATCCATAAATTTTCTTGTACTTTTTCTCTGTTTTCTTGACAGAATTACCTCCCTTTCCATTGCATTCTGTGTTCACCTGGGTCAGGGTTACACATGTAGGCTAGGTCATTTACATGTGCGCTTCAGGTGCACATCATATTTTTTTGTACTCTATCCTGTTGGCACATTTCACCATATATAAGTTTCATGTAGATATCAATCTTTTCTTCATCATAATTATATTCTTTCATCAATCAACTCGATTTCTTATAAAAATTCTAACCAAGATGATTGATTTGAAAGATAAATTGACTGGATTTGACAGCAACATTCATAAAAAGAAAAGAGAGGGGAGGAGGTGATTTTAGCTTCCCAGTAATGTAATTTTAAGATATATCTGTTAAATCGTTATTTTAAATGCTTTATCTCGTGTTTGATAAAAACACCTGTGTTTGAGGTACAGAGCTGGCGCTTTAGTGGTGGAAGTACACCATGGAACATGTCAGTAGCTAAAACCAGGGATACGAGTGCTAAACAAAAGTGTTGGAACCGTTTTCAATATTTAGTTCCAACTATAAACACAAACAGGATTTAGCATTCCAATTAATTCCGAGTAAAATATATTGATCTGCCAACTGTTCTAAGGCTAAAAATAGTTGGCTTTGTCTTATTATATTATACAATTTTTTGTTAAATCGCAAATGTTATCATACATAAAAATGTTATTTTTATGTTTGCAGAAACTAAAACAGGCAAATGAGAGAAATTCAGCCTATTAACATCAGCAGAAGCAATCCATTAAATTTTTTAACCCTGAAGTTGTTAATCTTAATTAAAAAGCTTAATTGATACCAACATTTTGTGAAAAGCTGTTTTGCTCTCACTGATTAATTTACAATATTGACGTTTTCAAAAAAAAAGTTGGGATATATCAAACTCAGTCATATATTTTGGTTTCAGAAAGTTGCCGAATTATTGATAAATTATAAGCTATTGGATACACATTACAGAGCTAGGGAAGACGGTGGCTTAGAAAGCATGCCAAAATGAAGATATTAATATAAGGCCAGTAACTATCAGGTGCTTCCGTACATACAACAGGTTTTTGGCAGTCCGTGTAAACCAAGTACATCCCACGCAAACAAAAACTGAGATGTTACATAACTAGTACAAGATTTTATACATACCAAATATATGACATTTTGCTATAAGAAAATGATCTCCAGTATATTTACAAGATGATATGTAAAGTAAATACAATATTGAAGCCAGGACAGTATTTCAGTTTAATCGCAATAAAAACAAGGCTGCTTGAGGATGGAAAATGTGTCCATCTTTTTTATATATGTCTTTGGAAAAAATTCTTATCTAGATTTCCATATGTGGAGATATTCAGGTTAATCAAACCCCGTCGATCATTTCTCTCGTAAACATTGTATGTAAGTAGGCATAAACTAATTTGCATGAAGTTATAAGTGTCACTCATTTAAACATTTATACATTCATTCATTCATCAATCAGTCTTTCATGATCAAATACAGACATTTATTTTTTAACATTTACAAGTATAACACTAAACTTCATTTTTTTTTTTTTTTTTTTTGTAATTACAAGTAATTGGTGAAATAACAAAACATGAGAGCTAGACATATACTTGTAAATAGGAGTTACAGAATATTCTCATCGTTATATTAACTGGTATTAATTCTGACGGAGTAGTGTCTTCTTTACACAATTAGTCATACAAGTGTGTGAAGCTCTAGAATGAAAACAAGCAAAACGTTGACATTGTGATGGAACGCTGTACTTAAAAAAAGCAAACGGAAAAAATCAATACCAGTTTTACATTCATTTCTTTTTCTGACTTGAAAAGTCGTTTTGTGACAAGTGGTGCAGGGAGATTCCAGACGGGTTCGAACTGAATTGATAAATTAACACAATTCCATTTTGAGAGTTTTTTTTTTTTTTTCAAAAGCAATGCCATTTCTGAGACATCTTCCTGAAGATAGAGACATCTGTTATTTCAATGCATCTGTCGTTGTTTTTGTCATTTCTGAATAGTTTCTCAGCATGTAACCATCTCTGTGATTTCATGTGTCTATCTCATACCACCATCTTCAAAAGCTTTGGCCATTTCAGCTGCTATCACCTCTTTCCTCTTTGACATCTTGGTGATCTTTCTCCTCCATCACTTTCTCAATTTCCATTTGTTTTCTTTTGTTCAGATGAAGTGTACCTAAAAATGCATTGATTTCTTTGATATATTTCATCTGATTTCTAATCTCCATATATAATTGAGAGCTCTTACCTTTTATAAAGACATCTTTTCTGTGCATTGTGCTTTAAACTAACAGGCAATCTGATGTAGACCACTTAATTTACCTGGCCGTTTTGTTATCTTATGTGGCCATTTCGTACATGGCTGTTCAAATTAACACGATACAGGTGTGTAGTTGTTGTTTATGCATGTTTTAACGACTTCTGTTGCTCGCAGGTCTGACAAAATCCTCCACTTTGGACTATAGTTATTTCTCGGGCGACTATGATTATTCATATTCTTCTGGTAAGTGATAGACGTGATGAAATTGCTGTAGGATATGCCTAGCTAGCTGAGTTGTTTGTTGTAACTGTGGTAGTTCTCGTCCGTCTGCTCCTTTGAATGCTGTTTAGACTGTGTAGAGTGATTGCCATGGCAACGAGACTTATCCGAGTTGGCAGAAGGGAGATAACTCAAAAAATTAATGGCAACAGAAAAAAAGCACCTCAGTTGCAATGCAAGGGAGACAATTCCTCTTTCACTCTGCTCTAACTTTTTCTTGTTTGCTCTTTTCTCTAACTGTAGCCGATTTTATTGGTTAATAATGCTTGAAAATGTATTTATTTTCACCGACAGGTTTTTTTCCAGAATTTTGTATCTTACAGTTTTAGTAAGGGTTTGTTTGTAGATATGTACACTATTTATGCATGCGTACATATGTGTGCTCAAGATTATATGTTGTCACATCACTGTTTGACAATAGTCTGCAAACCATATGTTTACTGCAAGTTTCACTGAGAATGCATATCACGTATAACAGTGAAAAAATTGTTTTCAGAAATATTTCACAAATTTTCACATATATGCATGATCTTGAAAAAATAAAATCTGAAATAATGTGATTTTATGGTTACTTGTGAATATGTTTACATTTTTGGTATTTTGAATATTAAAACTTTAAAAATAATGGATTTTATACATTTGAATTTCAAAATTGAATTAATTCTATTTAAATGAGTGGTAGAAAGGGGAGTTAACTTGATGTAATTTCCCAGTTGAAATTTGCAGATTATGATCATTGCCATTTTTAACGTGATAAAGTCAAAAGGACTTGCTGTGATGTTAGTATATCTATATATATATATATACATACATATATGTGTGTATAATGTTTGAATATCATTTGTGTTTTAGTACATGGCTCCAACTTGTCTCTGGTCTCCAGTTCCTCGTCCATATACTCCTCGGTAAGTTTGGAAATCTGATTTACAGTTTGTTTCTCAAATAGCATTGAAACGAAAAGTTAAAAATTAAAATAATGCTGAATTTGTTAGGTACATTCATTGTTATTTAAAAGTTGTATGAGTAAGGTAGGCAAAGTTATTTTTCTTGATGATTCTGTAATGGCACAGACTGTTGACACCACGATAACCTCAGCTGACAAAGTCCCATGAACTCTTAAAATGCCAAAGCATTCATTATACATTGAAAATTATTCTGGATTTAGAAACACATTTGTAACTATTGACGGCTTTGTCGTTAGTTTAGAAAATAATTGCAAGCAAAACTAGCACAATTTACAGGGAACAACAAAACTCTTGCCATTTCAATCATTTCAACAAATTAATTTCATTTCTTTCGGGGGAAAAAAAAAAAAATATCATTGATGTCTGCATTTTTTATTTGTTCAGAATTACAGACCATGATATGGTTAAAAATAAATTATTTATCTATATTTTCGTCCCGAATTTTTTATTATTAATGGGAATCCTACATTTGTGGATATTTAGAATTTCACTTGAAGGGAGATAACTTTTAGCAGCTACAGGTGTGTGAGGTGATCTCCATAAAAAAAATCTTATAGCCAAGATACGTTGAGGCTGTGACCTTTACTGTGACCTTTACCTACATTTAAATTTTCTCTGTATACTTCTAGTGATTAACATCTTCCTAAAAATAACTTAATCTTGTAATCAAATGTTTCAAAAGATTCTCACTTACAATTTTTGTTCATGGGCTTATACAGAAATTCTTGGAGCCAACTGGCGTTTAAATTCCGGGTTCTATATTTTGGAAGTATGCAGGCCAATTATATCAGTTTTACTGGCTCTGCTTCAGTATCAGAAAACACATTTCACATAGTTCTGTGATTGTATTTAAACCAACAGATTTGTAAAAGAATTTACAAAATTTTTGTCAGCTTCACGAAATTGTCATACTTAAATACATAAAGGATTGCTAATGTTTGAAAAATGTTTTTAATATTTTGCTGTTCTTTTTGTTGATAATGATATAAGATCAAAAATGAAGATGAATACTGTTTCTTACAAAATTTGGTTTATCAAAAAACTGGATGGATAAAACAAAATAATTGTAAGAAGACAAATTAAGTGAAAATCGGATAATTTTGTAACTTTAAAATTACCTGGCAGTTTGCTAAAAAGACTTACTTGATATGCAAAAATTTTTCTTTTCCCTGCCACAAGATTTTACAGTACAACATTGACAGACATTTGAATGGGGACAGCATGACCTATCATTTCACCTTGAAAGGGGCTTTACAAGGACTTGTTACATTTGTGCATTGTTTTTTAATACATATATCGTTGATATGCTTCTTGTCCCATCCTATGACCTCTGAACTTTCAGAGGTTGGTGTTTACTTACAATAAGTTACCTTAGCTGATTTTGAAAATAGATAAATCATATATTATCAAATTTTTCAATTTGGAGAAATGTTGGCATTAAAATTCCAATGTTGAAACGCTTTTTAAGATTCTTCAGTTGAGAGAATGCCAAATCTGCAAAAGAATTTTTTTGGTGTATAATATTTTGTATCAAGCCTCGTGCTGTGGAGATTTCATATGTTGGCTAGTCACCTGCTGTCTGTGAACCTTAGTGATTTTACCTGTGTGGAAAACTCATTATTTCGTACAACAGGTGTGTGATTTGTTTAATTCTGTGTTTTATGTGTGTTTAATTTTTCTTGACAGAATGAAGAAAAGCACAACCATGAGGTATGTACTTATGAAATGTTGCAGATAGATATCTGTTTTATTTCAAATTGAGAGCATCTGCCTATTATCTACAGAGGTGGGAATATTAAAATGGGAGAAATTTTACTTCATCAAAGGAATGTTACCTTATAATGATAAGATAACTATTTATAAAGTCATGGTTTATTTTCTACAATGATTTCAACAAAAAATATTGATTGCTGAATGTCTTAAGACAGCTGTTAAAAATCTAGTGTTTTTATGATTTGAAAATTGTACAATTCAGAATTTCAAATCTGTTCATTTTTGTTAGATAAGATATCTTGAGACACAAAATATGGACAATTCAAGCAACTTTTTCTTACATTTCACATCATTTGTCATTGTGAAGGCTGTAATATGTCCATGTATCTGTTTCATCATTACCCAAAAGTGCAATGAGTTTGTACTCTTATCAGGGGAGAAGTCATTACTTGTCATTGGTATTGAAAAGGAACAGTCATTATTTGATTTAGATCTTGTTATTTTAGATGCAATGAAAGTTATCAAAACACGATACTGATAGCCATTTTATATTTTGACTGAAACTTTCAACAAGGTTTTAAAGCTGGTGCTATATTTATACATCAAATCTTATCAACTCTCCTAACAAGGCCAAGCTGTTTAGCGATCCGGTTCATGGACAAGTACTGCACTACAATTCGGAAAGTAATGTAGATTCCAGACTTCAACAGTAAAAAATTGACATTTTACATAGAATATGCCAGAAAATTTCCTGCCTGCTGAAACTCAGCAAGTTTTATCTGTGTTAGATGTCAAAAAAATTAGCGATATACCAGGAACATTGTCGTGCAGGACTTTTATATTTGAAAAGTAAAATTCTCATGTTTCTGATCATCACTGAGGTTTTTGGGACCTGTGCCAGGAATGACAGTTGTATTTGTGTACCTCACAAAACTTGGTTAGAAAGTTCTATGAATGCATCTTAGACTTAGGACTTATCTTATCATTTCTCTTACAAATAACCTGAAGTCTGATCTGTGTGGCTTTAAGCCTGCCGTCCCAACAGTATTTGAAGATGGTGCTGAGTATAATGACTGCTGTTTTATAGATACGAAGAGCAGGGATAAGGTGAAATTAAAAGAAGATTGTTGCAGCGGTTGTGTGTCTTTTCCAGCTGTTCTCCACATCTTTTCATCTCTTCTTAATTTACAGATCCGAAAACTTCGACGTGAATTGGAGTCAGCCCAGGAAAAAGTTGTGACGTTATCGACGCAGTTGAGCACCAATGTGAGTCGGATTTGTGTTATGATCTTCGCCGTGTTTGTGTCATATTTTTGTATAGATTGGTTAGGGCTTACGTTTTGTGTTTCGGGGAATTTTTTTAACGTTTATGTGTGTGTCCCATCATTCGATTGACTGAGTGTATTGTAACGTGTTTCCAACTGAGATGTCGAAGCCAAGATATTCTGATATATCTACCCCAGAGGTAAGTATTCCCTCGGAGATTAGATCTCCAAAAAAGTTCAAACAAACTTATTTGGCTTTAGTCTTGCATGCATCTGATATGTAATAACCCACATTAAGAAAGTATCAGTCTCTCCGACTGTTGTCATGGCTCATTGTCGTGGCTCGTGTATTTTTATTCCTCAGTGGAGCTGTTTTTAACTTTCTACGTTAACAGGTGACCTTTTCATACGGTCGGTGGTCTAGTCAAGAGCTGAACAGCATGATTTTTTTTCTGAGTTCTGACAGCTTTAAAAATGATTTATATCAAGTGTTAAGACTGTGAAATGTTTATGTTTCACTGCATCATAACACCATTTCATCTTAAAAAATTTTGATCAAAATTTTTTTTAACAATGGACTTATCACAGCAAGTGGACAAGACAATTACCATTTCAATGATATTCAAAGACTTAAAATGAATTTGTAGAAATGAAAAATAAAAATCTCAAAAAACCCTTAGCCTTTAAAAATTTGATTTAAATCCCCTGGTGACCATTTTATCAAAATAAGGCACAAGTCTGGAAAACAAATGTTGATTCTATATTTAGACATTGGTGTTAATTGAATACACTCGCCAGCCTTCGCTGTGAACTGATATGGCTAATTTAGTGGCATGCTTACAGAAAAAGATGACTATCTCAAAAATCTAACACATTTTGAAGAGTCAGTTGCCATGGAAACCAATTACAAATCAGATCACTTGTTTTAAGGGAAGATTAAACTCCCATGAAAAAAAGAAAGAACAAATTTCAAATTTTTCTTTCTGATGAGGAAAGGCACTTGGTATTTTCTTAAATATCTTTGTAAATATACATATGTTTTTTTATTTGTCCTTAAAAGTAACCTCTCTGTGTTATCAGAATCAAAGTGCTGCAGGTATATCAGTGTAACAGGGATGCTTTAACTCAGAGAAGAAGTACTGTGTGCTTAAAATTTCTGTTGAAAAGGAAGCAAAATAGTACCATGCGATAGAATGACTCTTCCTATTGATAAGGCTTCTAAATTTAGCTTCTATATGTCAGAAGTCATAATATTGTGATGTCAGATTCGATGGAAGGATGGAGGTGTTTCAGGAGGGTGGAAAAACTATTTCTAAACATTACTTGTTCTGTGGTGTTTGGTTCAGTGATATGTAGATCATACATTTACCACTATTTCCATTATTTATTAGATTTCAAATTTTGTTAAAGTTATTTACTTTTCTTGAGGCAAAATGAAAAGCCATTTTACCTTTTTTTCATGAGTATTGAGTGACAAGGAAACCACTTCCTGACCATAATATTGATGATGTGTTGATATATAAGTTTTGGAAGTGCTTCCATTGCTATTGTTTTTGGTCCATTGTAACCTATTAACTATAAACTTTTCTTCCTCGAGTAAATCTTTTGCTTGGAGTTACTTCCCTTCACCTGTTGTGAATTGTACACAGAAAGAAGACATTTCAGATCTGAAGAGAAATTAAGAAAGCAATTATCTAAAAAGGCATTAATGATAATTTGTTCATAGTTTGAAAACTATTTCAAAGGTGAATACAGAACTCGTTCAATGTAATTTCAAACTTCCCTAAGCCATATCCCAACCCCCTACCCATTATCCAACTGTAGGCTTTGTAATAAACTCTATATATATATATAGGCCTTGTAATAAATGCTGTATATAGGCCATGTAATAAACTCTATATATATATAGGCCTTGTAATAAACTCTATATATATATATAGGCCTTGTAATATACTCTATATATATAGGCCTTGCTGTATATAGGCCTTGTAATAAACTATATATATATATATATATATATATATATATATATATATATATATAGGCCTTGTAATAAACTCTATATATATAGGCCTTGTAATAAACTATATATCTTGTAATAAACTCTGTTTGTATAGGCCTTGTAATATATATATATAGGCCTTGTATATAAAGGCTGTATATAGGCCTTAATAAACTCTATATATATAATATAACTCTATATATATAGGCTATATTTGTAATAAACTCTATATATATATAGGCCTTGTAATAAACTCTATATATATAGGCCTTGTAATAAATTCTATATATATATAGGCCTTGTAATAAATTCTATATATATAGGCCTTGTAATAAACTCTATATATATAGGCCTTGTAATAAACTCTATATATATAATACTCTATATATATATATATAGGCCTTGTAATAAACTCTATATATAGGCCTTGTAATAAACTCTATATATATATATATAGGCCTTGTAATAAACTCTCTATATATAGGCCTTGTAATAAACTCTCTATATATAGGCCTTGTAATAAACTCTATATATATATATAGGCCTTGTAATAAACTCTATATATATATAGGCCTTGTAATAAATGCTGTATATAGGCCTTGTAATAAACTCTATATATATAGGCCTTGTAATAAACTCTATATTTATAGGCTTTGTAATAAACTCTATACATATAGGCCTTGTAATAAACTCTGTATATATAGGCCTTGTAATAAACTCTCTATATATATATAGGCCTTGTAATAAACTCTATATTTATAGGCTTTGTAATAAACTCTATATATATAGGCCTTGTAATAAACTGTATATATCTTGTAATATATATATAGGCCTTGTAATAAACTATATATATAGGCCTTGTATATATATATAGGCCTTGTAATAAACTCTATATATATAGGCCTTGTAATAAACTCTATATATATATATGCCTATATGTAATATATATATGCCCTGTAATAAACTATATATATATAGGCCTTGTAATAAACTCTATATATATATATAGGCCTTGTAATAAACTCTATATATATAGGCCTTGTAATAAACTATATAAATATATATATATAGGCCTTGTAATAAACTATATATATAGGCCTTGTAATACTCTATATAAAGGGCCTTGTAATAAACTCTATATATATAGGCCTTGTAATAAACTCTCTCTATATATATAGGCCTTGTAATAAACTCTATATATATATAGGCCTTGTATATATAATGTAATAAACTCTATATATAGGCCTTGTAATAAACTCTATATATATAGGCCTATATATTGTAATAAACTATATATATATATATAGGCCTTGTAATAAACTATATCTATATATATATAGGCCTTGTAATAAACTATATATATATATAGGCTATATTTGTAATAAACTCTATATATATCTATATATATATAGGCCTTGTAATAAACTATATAAAGGCCTGTAATAAACTCTCTATATATAGGCCTACATATATATATTTAATAAACTCTATATATATAGGCCTTGTAATAAACTCTATATATATATATAGGCCTTGTAATAAACTCTATATATAGGCCTTGTAATAAACTCTATATATATATAGGCCTTGTAATAAACTCTATATATAGGCCTTGTAATAAACTCTATATATATAGGCCTTGTAATAAATTGTTGATGCTATTGCCAGTTAATAATATATTGGTTAGCACTCATTTGACCTCTTGACCTTGTATCTAAGGACCAAGGTCTGTGCGCTTATCAAATGTGAAAAAAAAGTCATGAGGACTTTAGAGTAAGGAATATGGCATCTGAAGAATAATATTTCTTCATCCGTTTCAAGTCTTATAACTTTCCGTCTGTTGCCTCACTTAGGTCAGGCAGGTCCCAGTTACACAGTTATTACCAAACATAATGTTTCCGAATTTGAATCCAAAATGAATCTCGAGACTTTGATAAGCATTCCATGGAAGATAGCAATTAATCGCCACGTAATCTTTTATAGCTCGTACTTAGGAAAGAAAACCAGCAAGCTGCCATCTATTTGATGTGCTTCTGACTGATTCACCTGATCGAGGTTTGGCAACTTACCTGATTTTTATGTATTTTTCACATCTAAACTATTCAGTGTGTCTGCTGTGCAGAAATGTGTTACTATAGTTACAAGTAAAGAGAAGTTAGATCTGTGATTTTTCATACAAATCGACGCAGCAGGTCATGTTGTTTATCATTCATCAACATCACCGAGTTATCAGCAATGTATTGCTCATTTTCCAATTTTTCGTTTCGTATTTTAAAGTTGAGTCATTTTATATCTGACCTAGTTTAAAATGTAGGCAGCTATTCCCCTCAAAACAAATATGGGAAAAAGTTGGGTTTCATTGAACAATTCAATAAATAAAGAAGTAAATAAACAAATAGATAAATAAATAAATAAATGTTTCAGAATTGATTATTTTGAAGTTGAATGGCTTAAACTGACTCAGCAACAACAAAATAGTCATCAATATCAGTAACTTTATCTGAATAGTCAGAGGAAAAAATCAATTTTCTTCATAAGGCACTTTTATATTTCTTATGATTTGTACTTTGTTCTGTCCCTAATTCAAGCCAGAAAACATCCTTAAAAATTTGGGTTGTTACGACGATGATATTTCTTGATCCCTTACTTAAGAAGATTTATTTCCTTACCCTCTTGGGAAACAAAATGCTGAAATGGTAGTTTTTATGTAATTTTCTGATCTTTTCGTATGAGGTTGGAGTGTGTTTATTACATCTAGGTCACAGCCACTGCGGAAATGTTGGATATCGAGAAGATGATTCTGAGTTGATAACAGGTCCTTTTATCCCTTGGTCTCAGCGGTGTTCCATCTTGTTCTCGGGCACTAAACTTGGAGCAGAATCTTCTTTTTTATAATATATTTTGGTTGAAGGATGAGGTTAGGGGTGGGAAGAGAGATAAACCTCTGAAGTACCTGGACATTGGTTACCGATGTGAGCGACATCAGTTACCAGCGTGAG